TCTGCTATAAAAATTAGCACAAAAATGAATATTTTAAAATTTTGTTTTTTAAAGAATTAAAATGTCAAAAACAACAAAAAGTTAGGATGTTAAAAAAGCTCAATTTAATTTAAAAGATGGATAAAAACACTTGACCTAGTGTCTCTCATGAGTAAATTGCCATGTAAAAGAATATTTGATTAAAAAAATAATATGTCATTAACAACTGGACTTACTCCAGGCATACAGGGGCAATTTAACAGTAAAAAATAAATTAGTGTTGATACAAGTTAGCAAAAGAAAAGAAGAAAAAGTGCATAGTCCTCTTAATACATGCAAACATTTCAGGTAATTCAACATTAATTTATAATAAAAACTCCTAAACTGCATATAGAATGGAACTTTCAAAATAGTGTAGAATGCTCAATAATTTCCTGAGACCAGTAGTAAGACTCTTCTTATTACTTACCTGCTATTGCTACTTTTACTTTTTACAATACTAAAAGGAGTTGCCAGTGCAAGGCACTAAAAATAAAAGCAAAATAATTCATTATTTTCAGGTGACTTGATAAGTGTACAGAGAAAATGCAAAAACAAAGCAAAAAAAGAAAAAATCTACATTCAAGCTATTTGAATCAAAAAGTGAACTGAGCAAAATCTCTAGATACGTGATGACTATGCAAAGTCAACTGCATTTTATCTTCCAGAATAAAAATAGAAAATTTAAAAAAATTAACACAAAACCAATTATAGTAAGACCTAAATAATAACTTTGATGGAATAAATCCAACAAAAAATATGTAAGTACAAAGCATTAATGAGAGAAGTCAAAGTGGATGTAAACAGAAGTAGGAATATACCATCATCAGGAACTGTCAAACTCAATATTGTTAAAATGTAAATTCAGTCCATACTGACTCATAAATACAATACAAACTTCAGTACTTTCTTGGTGTCAGTTGAAAATATGATTCTAGAATTTATGTGAAAATGAAAAAATGTTGAGGAAAGCCAAGATAAAAATGGAAGAAAAACAAAGCTGGGGAAATTATACTAACAAATTGCTAGGCATTAAAAATCCAGTAATTAAGGCAGTGTGATTTTGGAATGAGGATAATCAAAAAATGGACCAGTGAAGTAGAATTGAAAATCCATAAATACATATATTAATATTTTTACACACATACACAGTCATTTTTTAATTTTTTTTACAAAGTGACTCTGCAGTACAGTGGGTAAAAAATAGTCTTTTCCAGAAAGGATGGTCTTTTCAATATGGTTACTGATCAATGGGCTATTCATATAAAAAAATCAATAAAACGTGATCCCTGTCTCACACCAGACACAACAACCAATCTCAGATGGATTGCAGATTTAAATGTGAAATGCTAAACACTAAAGCTTTCATTAAGAAAACAGGAGAATATTTTCATGACCTGAGATAGGCAAGTGTTTCTTTTTTTTTTCCATTTATTTTTATTAGTTGGAGGCTAATTACTTTACAACATTGCAGTGGTTTTTGTCATACATTGAAATGAATTAGCCATGGATTTACATGTATTCCCCATCCCGGTCGGATTCTAAAAAGTTTAAAGAAGAGAGGAAAAAATGTAAATTGGACTTAGCTTAAATAATTTCTGTTCCCCAAAAGAAGACATCATTACAAACCAAATAGATAAACTCTATAGTAGGTACAAAAACACATTTTTATAAATGTACTGTCAAAGAATGTGTGTAAAGAAAATATAAATAACTCCTACAAATCACTAAGAAAAATGCAAAAAAAAAAAAAAACAAAACAGGAAACTGGGTAAAAGACTTGAAAAGGCAATTTACAAATTATTTGCATGGTTCCTAAGTATATAAAAAGAGGCTTTAAGAGTCATCAGGTAAATACAAGTTAAAACTGAGAACACATATACTATACACTCCAGTTTCAAAAGAAAGGCAATATCAAATGTTGGAATGAATATGAATCAAACAGCACTCTTACTGCTTAGCAGAAATTACTCAAACTACTAAAAACACAGATCCAATAATCCCTCAATTCTGTTATTAGATTCGTACACAAGAGGAAGGCACTCACGTATTTACTAAAAAGACAACGACAATGTTTATGCTGCACTATTTGCAATAGCTTCCAAACAGGGATATCAAAAGTCTGTAACAGTAGAATTATGAATACACTGATAAAATAGATAACTACATAGTGATAAGATAAAGAACGTTAACTATAGCAACCGTGTGGATGCATCTCATATGCATATGTGAAGTGAGAGAATCAGGCAGAAAACAATCTTTGCTGTATGATTCCACTTACATGAAGTTAGAAAAATCAAGATAGTGGTTATCTTTGGGGATTAATGGTTGAAAGGAAGAGAAAAAAAAAGCAGTCTTCTGGGTGCAAATAATGGTTTGTTTCCTCATCTGGGTGTAGGTTTCACACAGAAGTCATCATTTTGTGAGGAAAAAAATAATCAAGTTGTACATATGATTTGTGTATTTTCCTACCTATGTCTTACACTCCCAAAATAAGTTAACTTCAAAGTATTTTCCAAAGATCCATATTCAAATGATTCTAAATACTAATATTCACAATGATTCCTAGTTGAGTAAATTTTTTTATATCCCAACTTTCAATGAGACACAGAAACAATTCCTGCTCTAAGAGTTCTTCTGGGTCAAGTAAAACAGTGAAAATAAAATGTCAACCCACATGTGAATTTGCTATAACTTGAGTGAAAATGGAGGCACTGGTAAAGTTTAAGAGTATTGTTTCTTATCTAAGAATCTCAAAGTTGACTTTTGCTTTACCATTTCCTAAATGGATATTTCTAAGTACTCATTCATGCCTGCACACGCAGCACTGTTACAATGATCAGATTCCCTCACAGAGAGATCATCTTTTACCATCACAGCTCTTCTAAGAGTCTCATGTTCCTGCCTGTTATCCTTCCTTGGACGATTTTTCAATGCTTACTAATACACTACCTTCCAACTAAACAATGGAATCAACTCTACCATGCTTCTCTCTTTAATGTTACTGGCACATTTATCATCTGGAGATATAGGTGAGAGGTTTAAAGGTACAATTAGTTTTTCTTTCATCTAATTTAAATGAAAATAGTATAATGAGGTCTGGGGACAAAATTCTCTTAATTAAAGGGAGCCATCAAAGATCTTGTTAGTTATTCCCATCATTGACTTAACATATTTAAATGGACTAAAACTCCCTTTTTTTAAATTGACTAAAACCTTCTGATGGATAGAAAAATATGACATCAAGGCAGGTAAGTTATGGTTGGGATGTCCCACAAGTCTAGGTAGAGGTGCAAGCTGACTTGACTTCAGGCATACTATGATTAAGCACAGCTGTTCAAGCCTATCAAGAAAGTATCAAGTTCTCCAGAGAGATGGCATTTTTATCTTTGCAGCATAGTTCCAAGTTGAATTCACACTGGTGTTTTCAGCATTTTATGATACTTTTACAAAATAGATAAACTTCAAAGTAGAATTTATTAATATAAAAATGTTTCAGCATTTTAGTTTAGCATTTTATAAAAAAAAAACTTTCAACACTGAAACAGCTCTTTGACATATTTTGGATGTAACTGCTTAGTAGAAGGCTTTGGAAGTCTGAGCTGTTTTCATGATGGCAATGAGCTAACTGTAAAACTTATATAAATAAATCTGAAACTATGATAAAATATTTCCTTGGCCTTTTGGGATTTAAGACCTGTTCTTAAAGATATACATACCTCTTAAAATGATTTCTGAAGCACTGTAATGCAAAGTAGAAAACAAAAAATCTTTTTCATCTAATTTAGCAAATCACAGGGCAAGTATTTTCTTCTTTAACGCTGAAGAACTAGTGTATAAAATATTTTTGGCTCATTAACTCCAAAGGAACTACATGTGACAAAGGGAACTAAAGTAGTCCTTTGAAGGCAAAACATTTGTACAATTTCATACAGAAGCTAACAAAGGAGAGAACTACTCAGTCTAGGAAGTGGGTATATAACTAAGAATAATTATTTATTAATTCATTTATTCAATGTCTGACAGTGTCCTTCTAACAGAGATAAAAAGGAGTGGACCAAAATCTATGTCCTCAGTGGGACACATATGTGCAAATTATCAAGTCCAGTACATTTATGTAAGGCAGCGGAGGTGCAAATACCAACTATTGGGACGGTGTGAAGAACATCAACCTCTGGGGCATCAGTAAAGCTTTGCACAGAGGGTTGGAGAGTAACTCCAAGTTATTGATAACTCAGGGAGTCTTACCTGGGGCTTGGGTTCTCCTTAGAATCCTCCTTGATAGCCTTCAGAGCACAGCAAAGTACTCTCACACCTCCAGACTGGCCCTAGAACAATCTGATCATTAAGCCCTCCAGCCTCTCTCTACCTGCATTAGCAGCAGACAAACCAGGAAGCCTCAAAACTGATCAACTTACAGGTACGGTGCGCTTGAGTAATCACTTCAAGTCTCTCTTATGGGGAATTACACTGTGACTTAATTAGAGTTATAGAACCGGAAATAGATGAGGTCTTTTCTTATATTAAAATTTAGAGCAATCAAGTGTATAAAACTATACATTTCCTTCAACAACTTTTGCCTACGGTGACATTCAAGAGGCTCTGATCTGATTCAAAACTGAATGACCCATTTAGAGACCATGTTCCACTACTGGCAGTGTTCAAGGTTTCTACCTCTGAGTGACCGCAGAAGAATTAAGTAACTAGCCGAGCCTAGGACATTATATCAATGCATGCACAATGTATTTCCCTATTAGAATTAATACAACCCAATTAAAAATGGGCAAAGACCTAAACAGACATTTCTGCAAAGATGACGCACATATGGCTAAGAGGCACATGAAGAGATGCGCAACATCACTAATGATTAAAGAAATGCAGATCAAAAGTACAAAGCAGTACCACCTCACACTAGTTAGAACATCCATCATCAAAAAATCTACAAACAGCTTTCCGCTGGCTGGCAGCGCAGAGGCTGCACGATGCCTGGAGTTACTGTAAAAGACGTGAACCAGCAGGAGTTCGTCAGCGCTCTGGCAGCCTTCCTCAACAAGTCCGGGAAGCTGAAAGTCCCCGAATGGGTGGGCACCGTCAAGCTGGCCAAGCTTGGCCAAGAACTTGCTCCCTATGATGAGAACTGGTTCTACACACGAGCTGCTTCTACGGCACCTGTACCTCTGGGGTGGCGCTGGGGTTGGCGCCATGACCAAGATCTATGGGGGGGCGTCAGAGGAAAGGCATCATGCCCAGCCACTTCAGCAGAGGCTCCAAGATCGTGGCCCAGTGGGTCCTCCAAGCCCTGGAGGGGCTGAAAATGGTGGAAAAGGACCAAGATGGGGGCCGCAAACTGACGCCTCAGGGACAGAGAGATCTGGACAGAATCGCTGGACAGGTGGCACCTGCCAACAAGAAGTGTTAGAACAAATGATGCTGGGTTAATAAATTGCCTCGTTCGTTTAAAAAAAAATCTACAAACAAAAAATGCTGAAGAGGATGTGGAGAAAGTGGAACCTACTTACACTGTAGGTGGGAATGTAAACTGTTACAGCCACCATAGAGAACAGTATAGAAGTTCCTTAAAAAACAAGCAAACCAGAAAAAACTATAATTGGACTTACCATATGACTCAGAAATCCCTCTCCTGGGCATATATCCAGAGAAAAACATGGTTCAAAAGGATACATGCCCCACAGTGTTCATTGAGACACTGTTCGCAATAGTCAGGACATGAAGCAGCTTAAATGTCTGTTGACAGAGGAATGGATAAAGAGATGTGGTACATATACACAGTGGAATATTACTAAAGTTATTTAAAAGAATGAAATAATGTCATTTGCAGTGACACGGATGGACCTGAAGATTATCATACTAAGTGAAGTCAGTCAGGCAGTATGATAACGCTTAAATGAAGAATCTAAAGAAAATGATACTAATGAACTCATTCACAAAACAGAAACAGACTCACAGACTTAGAATATGAATTTATGGTTTACCAGGGGTAAAGTGTGGCAGCAAGGAATAGACTGGGAGTTTGGGATGTATGCACTGCTATATCTAAAATAGATAACCAAAAAGGACCTACTGTAAAAAAAATTTTTAAGTGCTCTAGATAAAATCATACTTATATGATAAGAGTTATCCAGCTTTACAGTTGGAAACTGACGTTCAAAGAGGTTACATATGTTCCAATACTCACACACAAAGATAGTAAATGGAAGATCTTGAACTTGAGTTCTGTTTGCCTATAAAACCTACACGCTCTTTCCTAAGCAGTGCAGAGGCTAAGACTGAGTTTCCTTACTGACATCAATAGATTGGTAAGCATCAGAATCACCTGGAATGCCTGTTAAAATGCAGATTCCTGATTTCCATCTCAGACCAACTGCAATTTTAATAAGCTATTCAACTGATTCTTACCCAAAGTTGAGACTGCTGGACTAAATGAAATAAATTTCTTTCAGATTTATTCAAAACATTAAGTTTATCTCAGGTATGTGGTTAGATGATTGGCACCTTGGCCTAGCTTTCTTTTTTTTTACATGCAGAGAAAATAATTATTTTAAGCCCTTTAAATAGCAAATCATTAAACAATCATTCACATTGCAATTCTTGGATATACAAGCAAAATTCCAGTAGAAGTTTTCCTTCAAAATATTTGAAAAGTTGTTATTTGCTAAAACTAGAATGAGTAATCCAAAGAACACTGTCTTCTTGGGTCTTTGTCAGTTATGCTAATATTCTGATCATTGCTGACCTTGGCATTAGGCTAAACCTAGCTATATCTCCCATATACCTATTGGGAACTTCATATACTATTTTAAACATAACCTTGTATGAGAATATCCCTTTCTTTCTTTTTTTTTCCCCAGTTTTATTTATTTTTTTACTTTACAATATTGTATTGGTTTTGCCATACATTGACATGAATCTGCCATGGGTGTACATGTGTTCCCCATCCTGAACCCCCCACCCACCTCCCTCCCCATCCCATCCCTCTGGGTCATCCCAGTGAATATCCCTTTCTAGACAGTCCCGAAGCCCTAGAACAGGATGTAATATCCCAGAAATGTGGGATTGGGAGGCCCCTGTGAGAGGTATTTTGAAATAAGTCATGGTAGGTCTACCCAAGGATCATTGCTCTTATCAAACAGAATTTCGATTGAAAGACAACTTTAGACACAGGAAATTAGACCTACAGATTTTTTAAATGCAGCAAATCATTGAAACCCACTCATTCATAAAATCCCTATTGATCAATTACTATATGCCTGGTACTGTGCTAAATCTAAGCCCAAAATTACTAACTTAATAAAGTCCCAAGTAGACCAGACACTGCCTTGGGGACCCCAAGGAAATATGTAATGCTGGTCATTTTCTCACAAAATTTATGAGAAGATTAATAAGACAACATTTATGCATGTGAAATAATTATAAAACACTGTGTTCAGCTTAGATACTGGAAAAAAAAAGTTCAAAAGGAGAAATTAGTATGTTTCAAATGTTGGGTACTTTAGTCATTGACTTTTACATACATCCTCTTCTATTACTTTGCACCAAAAATGTGTGATATGAATATGACAACTGATATTTTAAAAGAAATGAAATCATACTGGGTAGTAGTAAACAGTGATTTTATAGATAATCATTACAATCAATGCTCAATAGTTGCAGTAAAAGTACTTTTCCAAATAACCAGCCAATAAGATGTGAAGCTCGATTTCAAATTCAATTTGTTCATTTCCATTTGGCTACTGCCAATGCTGTCTGCCCCTCTAAGAAGGCAGAGGAACTCATGTGAGTCCAAGTATTCAGAAAACTTTGTAGATGCAGGAGGAATTCAAACAATATAAAGTTGTACTTTGGACTCTTGAGCGCTGATACATATCCTTTCCCTCCAAGATAAACATAAACAAACAAGTAAATAATGCCATCCAGTGCCAGTTCTCATAGAATTAAGTAAGACACACCACAGTACATTTTCAGTGAGCTACCGGGTGGGGACAAAGGGTTACCTTAGGATTCCCGAAATCTGGGCAACATGAGCTGAAACAGCATAACCCCAGGTGTGGGGGGCACTTCAAAGCACTGCTTCCAGTCATGTAGGGCAGCTGTAATTTCTGGAAAACAATAGCAGGAGATGATGCAGTTTGGCATGCCGATTGAGCAATGGGGTAAGGACTTTGGCAAGGGCACTAACAAATTCCACAGTAAGTGAATACAGCTGAAAATCCAAGAAAATGATTCACATGGGCACAGGTAGAAAGGCGTGTTCAGGTTTCCTAGTCTGGTCTGCTGAGTCACTCACTAGACCTTCCCACAGAACAGTTATTATCCTGAGACCCTTTATGTTAGTAAGAGGCACAGAAACGTGTGATGAAATCACATAATTTGGGAAATGATAAACTGTTACAATTTACAAGAAACTTGAAGGGTCCCAGGACACAAACTGATTGCTTAGCAGGTGAGAAAACAGACCCAGAGACATTAAATGTGCTGTCTAGGGTCACAAGGAGACAAGAGAACTAGCACCAACTCGGGTCTCAGTTCGGTTGGATTCTTTGCCTGGTTCCTGATGTTATTATTCTGATCAGAGAATGGAATGTTCTTGCTTATTAAAGTCATTAAGTGGTTAAAGCTAGGTCCATAAAAAGACCATAGCCCTCGTTTTCAAAAAGATGAAGGAAAGTCACAATGAATATTAAAACCGCCTTGAATAAAATGGGAATCATCAGGATGTTGCAGACCATCTTTTAAGATGATCACGGGTCCACAGTGGGCTGTACACATGTGCTTCATAGAATAACTAATGGAATAAATTATTCTAACACTGCTATTTTAAAATACTTAGAAAATACTTAGAAATGCAAAACAGAAAAAGAGACTCCGATGTATAGAACAGACTTGTGGACTCTGGGAGAAGGCGAGGGTGGGATGTTTCAAGAGAACAGCACCGAAACACGTATATTATCTAGGGTGAAACAGATCACCAGCCCAGGTTGGGTGCATGAGACAAGTGCTCGGGCCTGGTGCACTGGGAAGACCCAGAGAGATCGGGTGGAGAGGGAGGTGGGAGGGGGGACCGGGATGGGGAATACATGTAAATCCATGGCTAATTCATCTCAATGTATGACAAAAACCACTGCAATGATGTAAAGTAATTAGCCTCCAACTAATAAAAATAAATGAAAAAAATAAAAAATAAAAAATAAAATAAAATAAAATACTTCGAAAACATTTCAGTTTCACTTTTTGAAAAACAGGTGAAATCTAAGTAATATTTTTCTGTGTATTTTGTCACTTGCTTCAGGTCTTTCAAATGTCACATTTTCAGTGAGGTCTTCTTTGATTTGGTTTTCATGTTTAGTTGGCGGGCTACTTACTGTCCATGGGGTGGCAAGAGCTGGACATGACTTAGTGACTGAACAACAACACATAGTTGACTTACAATATTATATTAGGTTGAAGTATACAATAGACTCACAATTTTTATAGATTATACTCTATTTAGAATCATTATAAAGTGTTGGCTATCCTCCCTGCACTTTGCAACATATCCTTACAGCTTCTTTCTTTTATAAGCTCTGCTTTAAACACCCACTTTAAAGTTGCAAACCACAAGCCATACTACCCACCCATGAGGTACTCACGATTGTCCTCTGCTTTATTTTTTCCTCCAAGACATTTAATGCAACCTAACAATGATAATTTACTCTTTCGTATCATCCCCTAAGTGGAATGAAGACTAAGAGAGCAAGAATTGCTTGTGTCCCCAACAGCAGAGTTCCTAGTACACTCAAAGTGCTTAGCAAATATTAAATGATGAACGGATATACATATATTAAAAAAAAAGTTTTGAAATGCCTACTACACATGGCCTGAAATTAAAAATAAATCTATTTGATATAGTTTTTAAAAACCACATATTGTTTTCCAGCCTCATACATATTAAACATTTGGAATCTAAATAAATTTTAGATAAATGTTGATCTAAATTTGATTTTTTTTGCTTTTCTTTAGTGTATTTATTATGATGTAAGGTACAGGCTTTGATAGCAAACAAACAAAAAAACCAAACTAGTATCTAATGATTGATTTAAAAGAGCAATTTGATCCACTTTTTTAGGTAGTTAGCTTTTTAATATTAAGTGACATTAAATGCATTGTGTTTAAAATTTGAACTTTATTTCATTTTTCTCTTCATAGATGTATAAGACTTTCTATTCCTCCTAAATGACATTATTAAATGTTTTAGAAATCATCAGATATTCTATTAATTTAGCTTTTTCCTTGATAAAATCTTATTTTTCTTCCCCTTTAGGACACAAGAGGGCATATTGGAAAGACTAAAGTGCAGACCCAAATCACTGATTTTGATTATAAAAAAATAAATAACATCTCCCAAATGATCTAGATTTATAA